CTGCCCCCCCCCCCCCCTCCTGACGGACGCGGCCTGATTCGGGCTGGCCGGGCGCGCTGCAAGGCGCTGCTAACTGACGCCGGGGGAGCGGGCATGTGCGTTCGCGATCTGTCGGACAGCGTTCGCCAGGAGCGGCGGCCAGTAGACAGGACATCGCGCCGCTCCACTGAACGCTGAACTGGCTTGAGGCTGGTGGAGGGGGGCTGATTTTTGGATGGACTCGGATATCCGCCCTCGCTCTGAACGTTGGCTGGCTGGAGGCTGTGAGGGGGGCCGATTTTGGATTGACTCGGACGTCCGCCCTCCCTCTGAACGCTGGCTGGCTGGAGGCTGTGAGGGGGGCCGGTTTTGGATGGACTCAGACACCCGAACCTCCCTCTGCCCAACGCGTCGGCACGATCCGTCATTGCTCTGCTGGTGGAGACAAAATGCAAGACATCCGAGACCCCTGACGCTGCTGATCGGAATATCCTACGGCCATGGGACAGGGCTTTCTGCGCGAATGCAATTCATGCCGTATTTTTAGCGATTAAGCAAGGTTAATACTAAAAAATCACCATATTGCAGGGGAATCTTGGTGTGTGACGTGATTGTGGGCCCGCATCTTAAGCTCGAGCGATGTTACACACAACCAGCCTCTCACTGATCCTTGGCCTCTTTACTGCTCCCTGAGGCGTACCTCGATATTTTCACTTTCTTCAGTGCTAGTGGTCTTAGATGATGGGGACATGTATATCATGGATGAAATGCATATTAATTAGATAAGCAGAGCCTCATACGACTGGAGAGCATCTTCACTAAATAGAGGAATTATGCTGTCTAGAGCGGTCTTTTCCACTCAAAAGTATACGAAAAGTTATAAGTTAGCTTATTTAATCATATTTCATGCTTGCTTCAATGTCTTCAAATGTGGCACATTTCCTCAAAATGCCTAGACCAGTAACGGAGGACCCAGGCTTTCCAGCAGTATGGAACCCCCGCCCTTTAGAGCTTCCGTATCATAAGGCATCCTTCATCAAGCAATTGAACGATCAATTACACAAAAGAAGCGTCAAACGAACACGTGATGTAAGCACGCACACTGTAATAACGGGCATATGCCGCTGACGTCATGTGCTGAAAGCAATTCAGAGAAGATGTCAGGCAGCAGTATGGCCTGTAACCAGTGGCGCTTGTAGCAATAAACACCCCAAGAGGCATCGAGTGTTTTTTATGTATTCAACGACGCTTAACACGAGTGTTTTAGTTTCACCGTTATCTCGTAGTATACTGAACGCTAGTTCTTTATAGCGTAGAAACTCATTAGGCGCTTGTCACCTTATCACCAATATCTAGCATGCTTTCATGAGCCCTGCTGGTCTTGAAGCTCTCTGACTGGCGGGCGAGACTGTAACCGAGTAAGGATTGCTGAAACCACGACATAATTTTGAAGGAAGCAGGCTGACCTGACCCGGTCGTTCCCGCTGAAGGCAGCACCTTTCAACTACTGATCTCAGCTCCAGCAGCTGCCGGTGACAAACACAGTTTTTGAAAACGTCGATCTGTGTAATCTTAAGGCATATCCAAACAGCCCTTTGATGAAACATGACATTCCTGTCATATTCCAATGTGAGCTGAACTGAGCCTGTAGACCCTATTCGGTTAACAGCACGATGCCTCTTGCGAAATGGGACCAGGGAGTTGGGAAACAGTTGCAGGCGCTACCATGGTTCAAATTACACGCAATATGAGAGAATCCGAACTAATCTTTTTTGCGACCCATGCCAATAGGTCCTTGACGATACGTTGGACCATTCTGCGTAATCTAGTTTGCACGCGGAGGTTCGCTGATGTAGGCCCATGTTTCCATTCACCGTTTCTTCACCTACAAAGCTCACTGACGGGCTTACATGTGGCATTGTTCTGAAATTGGCCAGCTGTGGTTCAGACAATGCGCATTCATTTTAGTTACTGAAGTTATTGGATGCATATCAAGTGCGGTTTTTAGCGGCTGTAACTTAAGTGTGTGAACGAAGCTAATGGTAAAATTAATTTTCATAGTTTGAGCGAATATTGGAACTGAAACCCCCCCCCCCCCCCCCCCCCCCCCCCTTCGGTGTAGTTTTTTACGGTCAAAACTTCTCCGGCGTAAGCCACAGGTCGTGACGTTTGTGACTGGATCTCAGAAAGACGACATTGGCCGTCACTTGGTCGATTACCGGCATGGCGATGGCGTTAACATGGCTGACGTCACTTCATGATTCGAGACCGCACATTTACCTAGGCTGCACACTTTACAGCTAGTTTCACGTCGTCAACTGCTCCGATTCTCATGGTCCGGCATCAATCTTTGAAACCTTCGACCCGCAATGTCCGCTGCTACCAGGCCCGCTCTGTCGCCCGCCAAACGATACTGATTAAATGTCAGGATCAGTGACTCCGTTTCCTCCAGGATCAGTGAGTTCATGCTGCCGGGATCAGTGACTCCGTGCTGCCGGCATCGAACTGAGCCTCCACCCGTGCTCTTCAGGCTTTTCGAGATTGAGAACTTTCAATATTCATGCTATATACGTTATATACGTTATTCACGTATATGGAACAACGTTTGTGATTTCATAATGTTTCTGCAAGCCCAAAGTGATTATAACAGCTTGCATGCAAACACCCTAGCAATATTGCAACTCGGCTTTCTTAGCATTATACCACTATGCCACTGATCAGCACAGAGAGCGGGGGGCGGGGGGGGGGGGCGGGGGATGCGGCACGAGCAGTGGTTGCAGACACAAGTCCTTGAAAACATGGGTGACCAGTGGACGTTAAGGCAGGGACGGACTGCGCCCTCCTAGTAGTTGCAAGGATTTGTGGCAGATTCGGACGGCCAGTACAGCTACAGGAGCGGCATCAAATGCACGGTGTAGGCAAATTTGCTGTCCTCAAATCACTGCGCTATTTCAGGATTCTCCAATTAAGCGTCGGCACCAGTATCCCACTGGAAGGCAAGACAATGAATCTGTTTTTAAAGCCGTACCGCTAGTGCTATTCGCTGTAATACTAGCCGTGGACGAAACATGGAAAACCAGTCAGGCGTTCACCTAGTCTGCTGTTACCAATATCTGTTCAAAATGTTCGCGTGTTGTAGAAACTATTTTGGTCGTAGTCACCGAACACGTATACTACGGATGTGTTTGAATAAAATGCCGGACATGGCCGGGCCCCACGCCAACCATCTCTCGACATGTGTGGCTAATGCACTGCGAGCAAACGCCGCATGGGTGACATTCTTTGCACGCTTAACTCTATGAAAGACGAGTGGTCTAATACGGTGGTGACAGCCAGTTGCATGGCTAAAATAGCTTCGATTGCTATGGCGTTGCCTGTCCTGCGTCGCATGTCGCATCTTACTGGAATATATAAAGGGAATTTCTTAAGCGAACCAGGCTCCCGACGTTGGCAGTTGTTCAGATCATCAGGTGTCCCAGGAGCAGCAAAGGACACTTACACGATCAAGCCATCCGCCGGTACGCTTACTGGTTTTCGAGATACGTAACGTAGCGTTTTCGGGATACGTAACGATACGTAACGTACCGCTTGATACAGGCTTCTGGTGAACGGTATCTGTGCTGCATATCAGTGTAACCTGGGACTGATGTCATCCAGCTTTGCGTGACTTACCCTCGTGTCTCGGTGTGAGCCACTGTGTCCAATCTGCTAAGTCAGCAGTGTTTATCCGCAACATAGCTATGGTGTATACCTCCAAGTCAAAGTCCTTACCTGCGATATAATCCCTGTGCCTCTCAGGTCGCCAGTCGGTAGCTGTGACCTGACCTGTATCTCCTCCTCAGGTCCAGTCAGTGCCAGTGACCTGACCTAAGTCTCCTTCTTACGTCAGCAGTCATACCTGTGATCTGACCGTTGTTTGTATTTCCTGCCTCAGGTGGCAGTCTGTACCTGTAACCTGATGTATCTCGTGCCTCCAGTGAACAGTCTTTGTCTGCGACCTGACCTGTATCCCCCTTGCTCGGTGTCAGTATTCTGCACCTTTGACCTACCTATATCTCCTGCCTCAGGTCAGCAGTCTGTACCGTGATCTGATCTATGTCTCCCTGCCTCAGGTCGGCAGTCTGCACCTGTGACCTTATCTGTGTCTCCTGCTCAGGTCGGCAGTCTGCACCTGTGATCTGATCTATGTCTCCTGTCTCAGGTCGGCAGTCTGCACCTGTGACGTGACCTGTACCTCCCGTCTCAGGTCGGCAGTCTGCACCTTTGACCTGACCTGTATCTCCTGCCTCATATCGTCAGTCTGTACCTCTGACCTGACCTGTGTCTCCTGCCCCAGGTCAGTCTGTACCTGTGACCTGACCTGTGTCTCCTGCCTCAGGTCGGCAGTCTGCACCTGTGACGTGACCTGTGGCTCCCATCTCAGGTCGATAGTCTGCACCTTTGACCTGACCTGTGTCTTCTGCGTCATGTCAGCAGTCTGCACCTGTGACCTGATCTGTGTCTCCTGCCTCAGGTCGGCAGTCTGCACCCGTGACGTGACCTGTGCCTCCTGTCTCAGGTCGGCAGTCTGCACCTTTGACCTGACCTGTATCTCCTGCCTCATGTCTTTAGTCTGTACCTGTGACCTGACCTGTGCCCCCGTCTCAGGTCAGCAGCCTGTACCTATGACCTAACCTGTGCCTCCCGTCTCAGGTCGGCAGTCTGCACCTTTGACCTGGCCTGTATCTCCTGCCTCAGGTCGGCAGTCTGCACCTGTGACCTGACCTGTATCTCCTGCCCCATGTCTTTAGTCTGTACCTGTGACCTGACCTGTGCCCCCGTCTCAGGTCAGCAGCCTGTACCTATGACCTAACCTGTGCCTCCCGTCTCAGGTCGGTAGTCTGCACCTTTGACCTGACCTGTATCTCCTGCCTCAGGTCGGCAGTCTGCACCTGTGACGTGACCTGCGCCTCCTGCCTCAGGTCAGCAGCCTGTACCTGTGCCGGACTCACGCGGATGGTGGTCAGATCCGGTCAATTTCCATCGATTACGCTGGTGCACCTAGACGCTACGAAGCTCGAATCGCCCATGTGCTCATCAGCCCGGAGTCAGGTAATAGCCCATGTGCTCATCAGCCCGGAGTCAGGTAATAGCCCACGTGCTCACCAGCCCGGGGTCAGGCAATAGCTCATGTGCTCACCAGCCCGGGGGCAGGGTGAGAGTGGTCCCACGAGCCGAACATTTTGGTCCTGATGAACGGAGCAGGGCAGAACAACAGTGTGTGTGGAGCCAGCTGATAACGGCTCTGAATTATGAACAGGAAGAACGGCAGCGGATGATGGCAATGGATGGCGAAAGGTACATCCGGCATACAGGGCTCATGTCGATCGAGCAAGTACGCACAAACACAGAAATTCTAAAGCAGCTCACGACTAAACGCCTCGTCGGGACCCTGCCTGCCGGAGGAAGCGAACAGCCATCACCTGTCACAGCGCGCGGGGGGGGGGGGGCTCTTCATGTGAGGAACTTCAGCCGACCATGGACAGATGTTTCATTCGTGTTTTCAAAACTGGCATAGGGTCGCAGAGTCCGGAATTTTGCAGTTACAGAACCAGCCCAGCTGGACCTGATCTCCAGGGGATTCGCCTCGGTTTATTTATACCGGGCGGGCCGCCGACACAGGTCATCCTCAGGGTACCGACACGTTGCTCTACTTGCACCAGCTCACCGGCAGAGGCTGTTGGAAATGCAGCTGGCGTGAAGTTGTTTTGCTCGTGTGAATGCCGATAACGATGGACGGTATGGTAGTCATTACCCTAGTGATCGTAGCGAGTGAGACACGTAGCTTCGCGTAAAAAGTGCTTCATGAATCGTTCAATCGAAAGAAGCTTTTCTCCCAGTCTTTCTTGTATCGTGAAACCCCTTCCCAGCTGCCATAGTGGTGCCCAGTGCCTTCCATTTACTACTTCCGCCTTCTGTGTCGTATGTCTGTTGGACCACACCCACTCTTGTTTTTTAGGCGCATAGTGCCTTCCAGCAAGGAGCAGCCGCCGTCATCTTCGACATAAGCAGTGCACCGGAAATGGCCAGCGAGGTGAGATGTCATAGACACTTGGCTACGCAGGTCAATGACCTGAATTAGACAGACCGCTGACACTACCAGACGGGTCACTGACCGCGGCTCGTTAGGTCAGACTGTGGTCTACATGACACTAACCCCGGTGCGGAGGGTCACTGACTTTAGGCAGACGGATCATTGACCCCAGTCCGGCAGGGTACTGTCCCAAGGACGGTTCCTTCGTGACTTTGTCAGCACAATCGCCTAATTAAAGCGGGGGTCACGGCAGCATTACTTTCGTTTGGTTGTTCTGCGGGCTGGCAGCCGGTGGTGATAGCATGCCGTCACGTTCAACATCGCCGAGAGCGCATACATGCACGCCACCGGGCTAGGACCGGGCGCCGGCTACTCGTCGTGTTTGATGTTGCTACCAAAGCCACGGCACTGGAACTGTTCAATCGCCGTTGCGAAACTGACCGCGACGGCCGTGGGATCAGTTCCCGGAACTGGCGGCCGTCGGCCAGGGCGGGGCGTCTGATGTGGGGGCTTCGCCTGCCGCCGCGGCCGCCGGAGCAGCGCCTTCAGCCTGCGGCGGCCGCGCGCCTCCACAGGTGCCCGGCAGCACCAGCGCCTGCAGGGAACCTCGATCCTTCCCGGGCACCGTTGTAGCCGCGTCAATCGATGTGAACAGCCGCCGCCGCCGGCGGTTTCCGATAAGTCGCGGCCGGGGTCATCAGCCAGCCGCTGACCGCCGCTGCCCGCTGCAGCTGTTCACCGGGCAGCGGCAGCCGCAGCTGCCCCGGCCCGTGCTCGTCATGGCCGACCCGGACGTGCAGAGGCTGGCCGATGCCATGCGGCCCGAGGTCAACATCAGCGCCCGGGTCACGCGCAACCGGCGCCAACGGTCAGCCCAGCGCGCCGGCGCCCGCCTTCACATACTTCGACATCGCGCTCTTTGTCGTGTTCTTCCTGCTCATCTGCCTGCTGAGCGGCGTGGTGCTGTACAAGATCCGCAACCGGCGACAGCGGGTGAGTTGGCCGCCCCGGGGGCGGACCAGGGGTCGGGTCTAGCAGGGGTGGAGTCTAGCGCCGCGTGTGGCAGCGACAGATGCAGGGTGTCGGTAGGGGGCACCCCAAAGGCGAAGCTAGGGGTCGGGTTTGGCAGGGGCGGAGTGCAGGGCCGCGTGTAGCAGCGATAGATGCAGGTTGTCGATAGTGGCCACCCCAGGAGCGGACCAAGGGTCGGGTCTGGCAGAGGCAGAGTCGAGGGCCGCGTGTGGCAGCGACAGATACGGAGTGTCGGCAGTGGCAGGAGGAGAGCCGTCCGACATACACGGGGAATACGGCGTTGTAGTGAAGATGGTCTGAAATATCTGTGTGGTAGTTTTAGTACAACGTTACAGCTAAACGCTATATGTTAAGGGTACGCAATTGCAGCACCAGGATAGTAAGTCCCGCAAAATGCTAACGATTTCCTGCTGAGACAATCAGGTAGCAGCGTTAGCCAGCGATGAACATATCGTGACGTTACATGACACACCAAAGGCTCTCGGCAAAATTGCCCACTAATCTGAATTTGCTCCACTGGAACGATGGACCGGTGCCAAAAGATAGCTAAATGACAGCCGGACGATGACCGATGGTGTCGGCGAGCACATGTGCTTGGCAAGGACAATCGACTCGAAAAATATCGCTGTAGAACATTTGATAAGATTTCATGAAAATTTTACACCATGCTGACTGTATCCACAAACCGTGTTCCTGGAAATTTTGCAGGTAAATAACCATTTAGCTTGTTAAGTAAGGTCCGTGTACGTCATCGACAACACCTCATTGGAGTCAGCTGTCCTGAAGGTGATAACCGTCAAACGGCTGCCAAAGGCGCCCTGTCCTCCATGGACCCGGTGCCCCCATGCCAGCAGGAAGGTCGTGTTTCCGCGTAGATTTGAAAGGAGTAGCGCGCTGCACTCTGAGGCATGACACCTGGGGTCGGGATCTCCCCTTGGGAGCTGGCACGCCCGCTGCCCAGACTGCCATGACGCCGGCCAATTTGCCGGCACAAATGGCCTGGTTCGTTCTGGTTTTAGGACTAATGAATCATATTTAGGTCTCCGTGAAATAGTGTGACAAGTCATTTGGCTTTGTTTTAGTGCAATCATGTTGCCCCTTAACGTGAGTTCTGGGCCGGTAGAAAATGGCTCACATTCTTTTTAAGGTTATACCGCCCTGCCACACTTAGTGCACCTAATAATGTACGGTGCACACGGCGGACTATATTGCGAACATTGGACATCCGGAGGTGGCGGCCTCCATACCACCTTAAGTGATTTTTACCTTTTGATGATTGTGGAGTAGAATGCATTCACTGCAACTCGGGCCATGTTTAAACGGGTATCATATTTCCTTGTTAATGTGGTCAGGATAAGCAGTAAATAACTAAAACCAGACAACATTATAACGAAGCGGTATTTTGCTACTCTTGGAATTTTCACCCTTGACATATAATCACTGGCTGTATAAGACAACCAACAAATCAAGCGTGGAAAAATGCAAAATGAATAGCCGCAGTACTAGGAAATAACATATAAAAGTGCTTCTACCCACATAATTTCACACAAAGTTAATGATAACACATTGTGAGAAACTATCCTAAGTTCCGTGCCAATTTCTGATCCATGTAAACATATCGCAAGAAGTTAAACATAACGGCCATTTGGTGGCATGAGTAGATCGGTAACCCTCTGGTTTCTCACATGAAATGGATTTTCAAATGGGTTCCGAAAATTTAAGATTTGAGGAAAATTAAGAGGCGTTGGTATGGGTAGGACGTTCACGAAATATTGGATAGATACTTCAAACAATGCCCCGCAATGTCATTGAACTTCTTTTAGGGATAACATTGACGTACTTTAATTCATACCATTTTTACAATCATTAACGCAAAAGAGTCTTGGTTTAAATCCTTCTGAAACTGGTTCACTATTTAGAACTCAAGTGTCAGTAAAATGCAAGTAGGTGCGCAACGGGTGAATATAACTGATCAGGAATTACTAGCGGCTGGGTATGGACACACAACCCGACGCGCAGCGGCTGGGTATGGCACAGCTCCACATGTAGCGGTTGGGTATGGACACAGCCCCGCAGGTAGCGGCTGAGTATGGACACAGCCCCACAGGTAGCGGCTGGGTTGGGTACAGGGAATCCTACACATGAATTGTGTTCGGTCGTTCATTGAGTCAATTTCTCATTCATATGACAAATCAAACATTGCGCAAGACTTTATTAGGCCTACAATATTATTTGCGCTCGGTGTAGTGTGTTTCACTGACTCCTAGTGCCATCACTGACTCCTGATACTGTCACTGACTCCTAATGCCGTCACTGGCCTTTTGCGCCGTCACTGACCCCTAGTGCCATCAAAAGCCTCTGGTGCCACTACTGGTCCCTAGCCCATTGCCGATCCTGGTGCCGTCATCCACCCTTGGTGCCGCCACCAACCTCTCATGCTGTCACTGATCCTTGGTGCCATCACAGACCACTGGTACCATTACTGACCCCTGATAACATCTTTGATCCCTGATGCTGTCACTGGACCCTGGTGCCATCACTGAACCCTGGTGACATCACTGAACCCTGGTGCCATCACTAGCCCCTGTTGCCGTGCGTGTGCAGGACCCAGCGCTGCGGGTGGCCAAGTCGGTGCTGCACCAGATCCCGACGCGTCGGTACGGCGGCGGGGACGGCGTCGGGGGCGGGTGCCAGGCGGCGCGGCTGGGCCGATCCGGCTGCTGCTCCGGCTCCTCCCCCGAGCCTTCCGACGGCCACAAGCCGCGACTAGAGGAGCCCGAGGGCTGCACCATCTGCCTGGACGAGTATCGACCGGGCCAAGAGCTGCGCGTGCTGCCTTGTCGGCACGAGTTCCACCGCGGCTGCGTCGACCCCTGGCTGGTCAGCCGGCGCACCTGTCCACTCTGCACGTACAACATTGTCGGTGGGTTTCCACGCGTCCTCTCTCGATGTACAGCATTGTATGTGTATAGCGTATGACATCTTATAATATCGCATATTGTGTTTCACATCGCATTGTATCACGTGCGGCATCATGTATATGACATCGCATAAGGTCGCGTGACTGAACTCATGACATCACGAGGGGTCAAAGCACATGGCTGACCGCTCTGTGCATTCAACCCTGTAGGCGGCAGAGAGTCCCTCTTCTTTGCATGGCTAGCGTTGGTATATTGACGGTAACGGTAATTGTCCGCTGTCTACCTGTCCATCCTCCATGGCTCCGCACACACCTTGGGTGCCTGTGGAAGGGAAGATCGGGGGTGGGGACTTGGGAACATGTCAGGGATTGTGTCAGCTGGCCATGACATGGCGTAGTGGCGGCCCGGCCATGAGTACCAGTGACTACGACCGGGGGGACTGGGGGCATGTCAGGGATTGTGTTCGCTGGCCATGACGTGGCGTGGTGGCGGCCCGGCCGGGAGTACCAGTGACTACGACCGGGAGGACTGGGGGAATGTCAGGGATTGTCTCCGCTGGCCATGACATCGCGGTGGCGGCCCGGCAATGAGTACCAGTGACTACGACCGGGGGGACTGGAGACATGTCAGGGATTGTGTCCGCTGGCCATGACATGACGTGGTGGCGGCTCGGCCAGAAATACCAGTGTCTGCCATGAGCTGAATAGCTTTGTGATGCGCCGCAAGCTGTGAGACAAGCAGGCACTTGAGGCAGTTTGTCGTGAGGATGCACTCTTCTACGGGGAAGCCAGCTTCTAGAGAGGTCGGATCCGACCGCCTGGCCGTCGCCCGTCTTGAAGTGCCCAGTTCGTGCTGGAGGCCCGCGGGGCGCTGTCTGCTCCAGTCGGGAGAGGGCTCTGCACTCGAGACACTCCCGATTAGCCTTTAACGCTCTCGGAACTTTTGAAAGGTCGTCGCCTCAAAGCGTCTCGGACAAACCGAGCCACTTTGTCGCGGCGGCGTGGCGGGCCCACGCGCCGCGGCCGGTCCCGGCGCGAGCCGAGCTGCGGTCCCCGATCCGGGGTCTCACCAGGTGGGACCTCCCAGCGCTCGTGCAGGAGTCGGCGCCCCGATAGACAGCGGGCGTTGACTCCGACGGCACCGTCGATCCCCGGCGACAAGCTCCGAGTGCGAACGGTTCTCTCTCCTCTGGAGTTCAGTCGCTTCCGAGAATGTCCCTTGAACGCCCAACGTTGGAATGAAGTCAAGTTTCTGGACTCCGAGAACAGACTAACTTGAACTTCATTAGCCGATCGTAATCAGTTGGCCAAGGACGAAGAGTTCATAGATGTGACCTGCATGATGAGTTACCTTAAACCAAAGGTGGAGAATACTGATAGTTGGTGTGGAAATGCCTTTGAAGCAAACGTTTTCCGTGACAAAATCAGAATTGTGGTTGTTATCGAACAACTAGCTAATGTGCTGCCACACCTGATATGCCGTACTTTTCACCCATGCTCAAAAAGTATGCACCTTTCGCTATGTCCACAGAATTATATAGTTGGGTGGCTTTGGAAATACAATATATCACTTACAATTGCCTGCCGCGGAGAGCAAGGCATGTGAACGAATCCAGGAGGCGGATAGTGATTAACATCTATTTTAGATTCCTCAGTGATGGTCCAAGGTTCTAAGTACTACCGCCACAAGATATGGTCATGCGTAGCTTGTCGCTGCGTAGGGTGGGACCGAAATGACCTCCCAAGACCGTACGCTTTCTTGCAAGCACGGGAGCGTTGTTGCTGGACTGTGCCGCTACAGTCCAAGTTCAAGTAGTCTCTTGTTCGCTTCTTAACCATGCTTCGCCCGCTGTGCGATTCGAACTGCCCTGTTCTCGTGCACCTTCCCCGCTCTCTTCAGCGTGCGTTGACAGACCGGTGTCAGCTGCACCTCCGTCCAGCTGATCCTCGCTTCCGCCGACAGAACCGGTGCCGAGCGTCTGACTTGTGCCCGCCGCCGCCGCCGGCCGACCGTCGCAGCCCGTCGGTGACGACGGCCCGCGTGCCGCGGCCGGCCGCGCCGCTGTACCGGCCGCCGGCCGTCTGTCGCACGCCGGAGCCGGCGCCGGCGCGCGCCGTACCGCAGTACCACGCGCTGTACCGCGACCAGTGCCTGCCGGGCGCGGCGGCCGGCCTCGTGCGCGTGCCGGCCTCACCTGCGCTGCGCGGCCGGCCCTACAGCATGTACGAGCCGGCGGAGAGCGAGCGCGGGGGCCGGCCACGCTGCCTGTACCGGCCCGGCGGCTGGACCACCCTGCGGCCGGAGGAGCGGCCCGCCGGCCGGCCGCTCTCCTACCATCGGGACGAGCGCGCCGGCCTGCCGCCGCCCGGCCGCTCCTACTCGTACCAGCCGGACGGAAGACCGTACCTGCCGGACGCTGGCCGTCAGCCCAGCTACGTCATCCTGCGCACGGTGTACCCTGAGTACGGCGCCGGCCGCCTGGAAACGTGCACGGTCATTCCGTGCCAGCGGAGGGCGCAGGCGCCGCCCGAACAGGTGAGCGAGCGCGGCGGTGATTGCCGGTCCGGAAATATTACGCCTCGGGGAGCCGGTGGCGTCTCGTTGGCCACCGCTAGAGACGACTTCAGGGACGGTTGCAGGCAACGAGGCCGGAACCAGCAGCATTCCCCACCGGTGGGCGGGTGGCGCACTGTGCTCTGCGCATGTGCTGATATGGTAGCGCACAAGCATGAGACGGAATAATGACACGGAAGCCTATGCTATCCAGAAAAAGTGCGTAAACGACACCGAATGCAATGGCGTTTCTTACAATACCTCTCTGGATGCCACTGGTCGTTGCAACTGCAACTATTTGGACGTCTCTGGTTACCCAGTGACGTCACTAAGTAGCTACCACATTCAGACATTGCCGATAGTGAAATAGCACGCCATCGTGCTGTGCCCAGCGAGCCGTGAATCAGGCTTGCATAACGCTAGAAAGCTGCCGACCAAGGCGTCCTTTCCAGTCGGAACAGCCCACCTTCGACCGCCAGCCATATGGCGCTGTGGATAAATGGGACCGTGTTTTTCCACCGGCACCTCACGGCGCCCACGCGCCACGCACGTTAGTGTTTGAGCTTGTGCTGAGAATCCGGGTACGCCGCTTCCAAAACGCGGATTCCGGGAGTCCTGAACCATGACGTCAGCGCCGGCAAGCAGGTCAGATATAGCAAGAGACGTCTGTCTGTCTGTGCTGACGAGTGCTGTCTACAACCTTCTCGATCATTCCTTTTGAACGCCTACAACTCTGTACAATTACCCGCCCCTTATATTGACCCATATCCACGTCGCCCTATTGTTAATCCAGGACGAGGGGTTTGGTGTAAGCCTGGGGTTATCACAGCGCCTACATTTGCGATTAATTTTGTATGTAGTTATATCGTTTGCAACCGGTCCGGTTCCGTGTAGTTGGCATCACTTGAGGGTCTTCACAACAAATGATAAAACAACCATTAAAATATCTGAATAGCTCCAACTTAAAGCTTTTTTTTAAAGTGACTGAACCGGATCTACATTTTAAGCCCATTACACACGTTCTGAAACACTGGGGGAAGGGAGGGTGAGGGTAAACTCGAGCCCTTCAAATACACAGAAAGTCAGGCCCTCGGTTTATAACCTGGGGTCGCTGACCGTAGTTTGTGGTGCTCGTAAACGGACATGTCGATACCTAATAGGCCATCCGATGAGCCAAATACTGGCTGCATAAGGTCGCAGCAGCGCCAGTTTCCACATTTCACCGCCAGTAGGGCACGGCCCGTGTGAGCAGTAACGAGGAAGACGTGCCGACATGCCTGCAGGGCCATTGTGACCCTGCTCGCACAGTCCCATTTGGCAGTGCAAGTGTGTCCATCCACACATGTGTCCACCGCAATGGGCGAGAACCAGTTCAGGGAGTGAACCACACTTCGTTGTTTCTTTCCATGTACCAAACGGGGCATAATGCTGATTGAAAAAGGTGGAGCAACCGTCCCTTCTTGTCCAGCTTTCCGGAGCTCACGCCTTTAAGTGGCGAATATACGCGAGTCGTTGTCGTGTGGTGTCATTGATAATCAGTAAGATACTGGTGAACGTGAGTGACTTGAAACTGGACGTCCTTATTTGCTCATGTTTCTTGCAATGTAAGGGGTGGGCGTCGTTAGAAAGCGCAGGTTCGAAAATACCGGCAGAACTACCGGTTTATCAGGGAGGTAGACATAGACTTCACCTTTGGGGAAAATAATAACTTTCTGTCAGCTTTGCAGATTTTAACAGCTACGGACCGTGGGCTTGGCATGATTTGGAACGCATCAGAAGCCTTCCGCGTAGCCCGCTCCCCCGCTTTTGACCCGTTGTGGAGGTTCTGGACGCGGGAGTGTCTCGAAATGTGCGCAGGTCGAGCCATCGACCTCGCTACGTGACACACTCACAAAGAGACGTAGAGCGCGGCCCAATCGATCCTGCTTCAACTTCTAAGCAACGAATGCTTTAATATGCATGCCTACATGAATGTTCACTTCATTATATGCCCAGTAATGTTTTCGGATAACCCTGGATTGCATGCCCCTTGGGTACCAGATTCCCCAGATGACAGAAAAGCGGCATTCTGAACAAGCTGCATTGTTATTACAGCCACATCTTGAAAAACGAACTTTGACCCATGCTTTTGACAATCTGTGATTTGTGACCTACATTACATGGACCAGCACGACCTTGCCACTTGTGGCTTAGGGCCTGCACAATTTCTGAGAAATGTGACCTCCGGCATCTGCAGCCTCTGACGGTGACTGCTGACCTGTATAGTCTCTAGTCAAACTGTGCAACCCCGTCTGATCTCTGGACTTCCTCACCGATTTCGCTCCTGTCACGCGGCCTGACCCGTATGAGCGCTGACCTGTGCAGCCCCTAACGTCTGGCTCCTGACCTGAGTGACCTCTGACCATGCGAAGCCCGCGTGACCTGACCGCGGCCCGACCCGGCAGGACGTGTGGCGGCCGGCGCTGGTGCACTACGGCCGGGAGCCGCGGCCGCCCTCCTGGCAGGCGTCGGACACGGACTCGGACGACCTGGAGGTGCGCTCCATCACGGGGTCACGACCCGAGTACGGCGCCGCCGGCTACAGCAGCGCCAGCGGCGACGACGAGCCCGACCAGAAGTGGACCGTGGTGTGAGACGAGGACGAGCCCGAGCGGACCGTGGTGTGAGACGAGGACGAGCCCGAGCGGACAGTGGTGTGAGACGAGGACGAGCCCGAGCGGACAGTGGTGTGAGACGAGGACGAGCCCAACTGGAAGTGGACCGTGATGTCAGACTAGGACGAGCCTGACTGCAAGAGAGCCGTAGTGTGAAACGAGGACGACGAGATGGGCCAGAAGAAGACGGAAGCATGGGATGAGATTGACGGCATCGGCTTGAAGAGGACAGTCGCGTGAGAGGAAGACGGCATCGGCTGCAAGAGAAACTTGGCGTGGGACGACACATGGGCTCGGCGCGGGAACTGAGTGCACCACTGTGATACAGATAAACTATATCAAAATGGGGTATGGACGGTGCGGTAGGGCAGGACCGGGCGTGGTGACCGTGCGTCGGCCTGCCCAGCATCGTCTGACGCGCGCGTGTGGACGGGTCCCGGCTCACGAGACGGCATCTCGGCTCAGGTCACGGAATCTCGGCACAGACGCACCTCGCACGGACGCCCAACACCCGTGCTACACCGGGGCGTCACAGCGAGCGCCGAGCGGTGCGGTCTCATCGCCAGAGGACCCGTCCGCCGCCCAGACCTGGTCCGGGAGCCGCCCGTCCGCCCGCTGGCTCAACACCCGCCGGGCCGCTGAAGGAAACGTCACGCGCGGCGATAGGTCGGCCCGGAGGGACGAGGCGCCTCTGGAGCGCCGCCGCCGCTGCCACGCACCAGGTCAAGGTCGCGTGCTTCCCGGGGCCGCCGCGGCGCAGTGGCCGGCGGTGCGGAATGCCTGGGCCGGCCGTGCGGCGTCAGGGACGGGCCGCGTCGGTCGCCACGGTCACAGTCTTTCAGTCTGAGGTGCCTCAACAGCGGAGGGGCGACGGCCCGCCGCCCGCACCCGCCGCGGGAAGTCCGCGTGGGGCCGCTTGTGCCGCGCGCACACGGGGTCCACTATGGACAATCCACGTGCGGCTGTCCGTAGCGAAGGCACTCAAAGCATAATGTAGCTGATGCGGTTATGCGGGCTGTGTACTGTAGTGTGGTGCTATAGGGTCGGGGACAGATATTGCCAATGGAAGGCGCTGATGGGAAAATGCATGGCGTAGAAATTCGCGCACGGCACGGCTTACGCGACGGGGACGCAACGTAGTATGTAGCATTCGCACAGCTCTGGACTTCGGTTCATGGAGCAAAATATTCTTCCAGGAAAACGGCTACAGAGAACTGCTCGCGAGATTCAACTCAACGCATCTTCGAATGTCAGGATGGTTGCTTGTTGATGTAAACGTTGTGGTTATGTTTGGATAGCTTTCCCGGACCGCACAGATCTCCGCAGTAAACAATGATTTGATTAAATTACATCCCACGTAGCCCGCTAACAATTAACAGGTCACTCGTGTTTTCTTGCAATTAACATATATTAAACATCTCCACCATCCCAGAACAGCCAATGATTTCAAATTGCTGAGCTTAAAACAGAGCCGGACGGAGCTCGGGGCTCTGCTACTGACTCAGCGGTGGCGTGACAATGCCCCAGACCCGTCTGAGTCAGCGACGAGTCAATGCCCCAATGAGTCAGCGGCGCAAACCATTAGTGGCGGATAAGAACGAGCCGGTGGAGCGGAGCCCCCTTTCGAAAGGTAATAGTTAAGCCATTGATCCTCCGAGCAGCGTTGGCACTCGCGCGGACTCAGTCCGCCCCGTTTCCGTCAGAGGCCATCACATAAGAGCGTCCCTGATAGCTTCATCGCCGGGGGAGAAAATGGGCAATGCTTTCGCTATGAC